CCCCCCAAAAAAAATACTGACTCCAAGCTTTTGAATGGTATAGTGTATAATGTTACAAAAGCTTTTTATTTCAGAATGCTGATCTTTCTATTCATCAAAGAACCCTGAAAAAATGTACTGTGTTTTAAGTATTGATAATAATAATAAAATGTTTCTTGAACAGCAAATCAGCATATTAGAATGATTTCTGAAGGATCATGTGACTCTGAAGACTGGAGTAATGATGCTGAAAATTCAGCTTTGATCACAGGAATAAATTACATTTTAAAATATATTCAAATAGAAAGCAGTTATTTTAAATAGTAAAAATATTTCACAGTATTACTGCTTTTGCTGTATTTTGTATAAAATAAATGCAGGCTTGGTGAGCAGAAGATAATTCTTTAAAAAACATAAAAAATCTTACTGTTCAAAATCTTTTGACTGGTAGTGTATATTCAAATGTTTAATAATTCATTCAAATTAATTAAACATTTTTAAATAGACTGCAGCAATAATATTTTGCCACACATTGTTTTGTTTAGTTCAGAATCGTGGGAGAATCGTGATCTCTATTTGAGACAAAAAAAAAAATCGTGATTCCCAAATTATCCAGAATCGTGTAGCTCTAGTCTGTCTAGATTGGACGTGACAAAGTGACCATTGTAAATCATTTGAATTTTGTGTCAGTAGTATGTCATAAATAGAACGAGGTGCCAATTTACTGTCGGGGATTTGTCACGCCGCGCCGCATCCAGTGTAGACAGCATCACTGATTGTAATGGGTTCTATAGTATTTTGTTGCGTCGTGCCGTGCCGTGCCGATCACGTCTAGTGTAGACACTGTGTTAATGTGAGCTTTCTGTTCTAAGGTCTGTTAGTTTTATGAACCCAGATCACTAAGAAATGGAGCTTGATCTCTGATCTCTTTGTTTTCCAGGATTTCCTCCCAAGCAAAGAGCAAAGCTCAGCGAAACCCAGAGGAGAACATGAGTGAGGATGAGGATGTTCAGGTGGAGAAAGCTCGAGTGAAGGAGGCATTGACTTGTCAGTGCTGTGAGGAGGTATAGCCCCACTTTTCTGTAAATCGTAGAGTCTTAAGAGTTTCAAATCACGTTATTGTCCAATAACCTTTTTAATATGGAAAAATAAAACTTTTACAGAAACCAGTGGTAGTGGTGAGTAACCTCAAGAAACAGTACAAAGGCAAGAGGGAGGGCTTTTCACTCAGCAAGAGAAGGAAAGTGGCCACTAAGAACATCTCCTTTTGTGTTCGCAAAGGTAGAGTCTGCCTCTGATTGGATGTACTGTAAGTAATGATTTTAAAGAGAGCAAGCAAATGTTAATGAAAAATGGCCTGTTCTCAGGTGAGGTTTTGGGTCTGCTGGGACCAAATGGAGCAGGAAAGAGCACCATCATGCACATGCTGTCTGGAGACACTGAACCCACTGCTGGACAGGTTTGGGCTCAATCTCTCAGTTTCTTGCTGGTTATGAGTTCTTTTGAACATATGAGACATGTTCATTGTGGTCTGACTAAAGTTTGATATTTATTTTTAGATTCTGATGGGAGATTATGGCACAGACTTCCAACCAGTGGAAAACCCCTTGGAGCATGTAGGGTACTGTCCTCAGGTGAACCCTCTGTGGCCTAGAATCACTCTACAGGAGCACCTGGAGATCTATGCTGCTATCAAGGGGCTACATCAGTGTGATATCCCAAACATCATTAAGCGGTACCAAATCTCTTTAAAAAAAAAAAAAGACATTTTACATTTACACTACCATTCAAAGGCTTGTAGTCAGTAAGATAGATTTAATATTTTTTTTTTTTTAGTCTTAAACGATGTTGAGCTCTTAGTATTTAATATATTTTATTAAATTTAATATTGAATTATCAGCAACCATTACTCTTTGATGAATAATAAAGACTTTTAAATGTTATTACTGTCATGTTTAATCAATTTGCTAGTATCTTTAAAAAAAAATCTAAAAATGAAATTAATTTCGTTTACTGACCCCATACTTTTGAACGGTAGTGCTCTCCAGAAAATCCACAAATGAGGGTTTTAAACATTGCATATATTATTTTATTTATAAACCACCACAGCTGCTTTTTGGATTTGTAGTAGTAGTAGTACTTAAGTTTATAATTTTTTCTTTTTTAGAATGAATCAAAATAAATGCAGTGGCTAGTATAATGTTGCAAGTGACACGGTAACTTAAAATAATTATTTTGCCATGTGAACAGATTTTCTACATTTACAGTATGACCACCACAGCAATGTTCAAGGTTTAAATAGTGTGTGTGTGTCTGTGTGTGTGTGTCTGTTTTTAACAGTGTTGTGAGTGCTCTAGAGCTAAAGGATCATCTTTACAAACAAGCAAAAAACTTGTCTGCAGGGCTAAAGAGGAAGGCGAGTCATTCAATTCAATATCATTATAAAAAATAGATTTTGTTGCGTATTTTAGGCTTATTTTTTTATCTTGTTCATACTAGCTGTGCTTTGCACTAAGCATGCTGGGAAATCCTCAGATAGTTCTGTTGGATGAACCATCTACAGGAATGGATCCCAAATCAAAACAGCGCATGTGGTAAAATTTTCTACTTTGTGTTCAGTTTTTTAGCTTTTGTATTCTGAATGCTATGATATCCATCACAACATGTACATATAAAACAGAGGTCTGCAAAAATGAACATTTCTGTGGTTCATTTCAATAGGAGGGCAATCCGTGCTGCCTTTAAGAACAAACAGCGAGGAGCCCTTTTGACAACCCACTACATGGAAGAGGCGGAGGCTGTGTGTGACCGTGTGGCCATCATGGTTTCTGGTCAACTAAGGTGGGACTATAAAACGGATAAAAGCCTCCGTGAAAAATGACATGGATTAACATGCACTTAAAGAGAATTTTGGGCAAGCAAGTAAAGCAGAATAGAAAGCTCGTAACATTTTGTTATGTTGCCCCCTGCAGATGTATTGGCTCAATACAGCACCTGAAGGGGAAGTTTGGGAGAGGCTACAGCCTAGAGATTAATCTCAGGGAGGAGCTCACAGGTCTCCAGCAGGTAGCACTGTTGCACAAAGAGATACTGAAGATATTTCCTCACGCTGCTCGTCAGGACAGGTAAGATGTGTCTGAATAAGATTAGAAATTAAATGGGAGGGAAAAAATAGATGTCAAATTGACATAAAAGTAGAATTTAAAACCTGGGAGTGAGAGGTGTGTGTGTGTGTGTGTGTGTGTGTGTGTGTGTGTGTGTGTGTGTGTGTGTGTGTGTGTGTGTGTGTGT